TTTTTTAAACAGTAATGTAGGAGCTCATTAGCTAACCCTAAAAGGTTTTCCTCCCAGGACAATAGAACTCCGGGTCACCACACACACAAACGGGCTTACTCGTAAGTATCCTATACACAACTAGATCTGTGTATTGATCCTGCTCTTTATCGAAAATTAAAATATGAAAATCAAAAGGTTAAATCAGTCGTGTCCGTTGGTGAAATCAAGTAAAACAATTTGCGTTTAACAGCAATTTTACAGGAGGGACCATTTGGGCGTTCAGAAATTCACTGCGCCTGGAGGTTTAGTTCGGAAACATTTCCTTCGATACTGTACCACATTGAAGTTAATTTTTGTTTTCCCCAGAAAGAAATATTCCGCACACAGCTCGTCTACAAAAGGACATGTGGGGGACAAATGCAGCTTCAAATCCCTCCTCCCCCAACACAGGTCACCATTGAAGTGAAAGAGGCCGCGGCTGTACCCGTTACCAGGTGTATCAGGTGCAGCCCAAACCAGTTCCAACAAGAAATGCGCTCCGGGGAATCTGTGTGACGTCAGCACCCCCATCTCAGCTACACTCCCTGAAACAACTGGCCGGGCAGGTAACCAGGAGAGCAGCAGGGTCGGGTTTCAATGCGCGATCCGCCACAGTAATTTACAGGAATTCGCAGGGAAAAAAAAAAGCACAGGAATTCTCTCGCTGATAAAAAAAGCTAACAGATAACCCTCCCAGGTCTGCACTATGGTTACATATTTCAATGCAATACCCGAGTAGCTTTATTCTAAAAGCCACTATTTGCTAAACAAAGCATAGTCCACGTCGCTTGCTTTCGTAGATTGTAAAATAAAGCAAAAAGCGTTGTGCAGCGTAAGTAAACTGATCCTAAATACTAAGACCACCGGTGAGGGGAGTACCTATTCCTCATGATTTTCAAACCTGTTTTATTAACACGGGCAGATCACAAGTTGCGTCACTCGTATCCAGCTTAAATGACGGAAAGCCACAAAAACAAATGCGCAAACCAGGTGCCTCTCGTTTTGATACCAATACATCTTTTCGGAGTGGAATTAACCTTTACTTGTTCCTTCGCAACCAATGGCGCAGCTCTCCACTTAAATCTCAAAGTTCAAATCTCAGGCAATAAGGCTCTTCGCTCTCGTTTCTTCGGTACAACATCCGACTGTACAAATGGATGTTTAAAAGTATCAACCAAAATGAGCAAATATGGATAGTAGTGCTTAGGAAAATTTGCAGGACAGAGGGGTGGGAGAATAATTCACCTTACTTTCCCTCTGCTAACCAGTCAGGTTACATACCAAAACATCCACACTAAAGGGAAAAAAAAAAGTTCGGGGCCAACGGACCTGGAACCTTCCCCTCTTTCATTTGCTGGTTTATCACAGTTTATTCACAATTGTGAAGAATGTATTTACACTAAGATAGTGTTTATTGTTTTACAGTACTTTATCATAACTCGAGATAAGAAGGTAAACTCTGATAAGCTTTCAGTGGGCTTTTTAACAGGCTAATCATTTTATTGAAGTGTACAGACTGTGCCAAATACACACCAGACACTGAGAATTGCAGTCATATAATGCATATAGCTTATCCTTACACATACAGTGTAATTTAACGATCTCCCCAAGAGTAGTGGATTGCTCTTTTTGCTCCTCAGAAAAGAGAAAACATTGTAGATTTAAGAAAAATCAAAAGACACAGTCCACCTTAATTTGTAATGCAAAGGTATTCTAAATATTTCATCCCTCCCTGGTCTTCATTCTTCTGTAGCATAGTTCAGAAACCATACTGCTACATTGGTAACTAAGGCACAGTTTTAACAGACTTATGACCCAGTTTAAAAAGATCACCCAAGAAATGGTGTTTATAATGAGCCAGCAGTTTTTAAACTTTAAATATAGTCCATCTGATTTCCCCAATATTATGGTGTATAATGTTTTTAAATTTAAAAACATCTAAATCTTGTTTGATGTACATGACCAGAATAACCCCTGTAAGATTTACAAGGTTTAGAGTCAGGATGTGTCAGCGTTTGTTTTCTGACAAAATGAAAACCTTTAACAAGTTTCTTTTCAGCATCTTTATCACCAAGACAGGCTCTCATGACTCCAGAGCCTTTGGATCAAGACTAGATCCCAGTAATCCAGAATAAGAACTCTGTTGCTTTACTGTCAGATTGAGTATATGAAGCAGTGGTTCCCAGTCCCAGTCTGGTGACCCACACACCTGCTGGTTTTCATTCCAGCCCACCTCCATTCAATACCTGAAGCCTTATTTGATCTAAGACATTGCTTCAATTGAATATTTGCAGTCGTTTTCTAGTCAGATGTTTGGGTTTTTAAGGCACTTAGAAAATACAAAAATTAAAGCTCCAACATGATTTAAGAGCTGTGGACAAAGTTACTTAAATCAGTGAAGGTTTATGTAAATGAGGGCTCAATTAGGAACAAAAACCAACAGCTGTGTGGGTCGCAAGTACCAGGACTGGGAAACCATGGATATAAAAATGTACTAAACGTAATAAAGTTGTTGTTCAATTCTGCATGTCCTACTTGTTGCTGGCAAGGACTGCAGCAATCCAGATCCCAGTCTGGAAGCACAGAGTTCTGCAAGACCACACGACAGATGGTGCACATGGACACGTAGGCAGTGACCCTAACCAGCATGAATGGGAGGCAGGAGCCTGGAGCACCCAGAGAAAACCCATGCGTGTACACAAGGAGAACATGCAAACTCCACACCATCAAACCCACAATCCCCCAAAGCTCTAGCTCCCCCCCTCCACAGCCAAAATGGGATGAATATCATGAGTTAAATTCAATTTAATAAATCACCAGCTAGGTAATCCTTAAGATTGTTGACCAACCTGAAACTCACGTTCCCATTAAATTATTCCGAGAAAATATTGAGAATAAATGTTTATGCTTCAGGTAACGGTTAACTAGAAGCGTGTGAAAAAGTTGTTGGTACAAGTTACAGGTATTCTATACTACACCCTAACTGTGCCTGAACAGGTCGAGTTATAGGGGTGTGTTCCAGCACTGCGCAAGAGCGCATTCGAAGATGTCACATGTCAAAGCCACGGTGACAAAACCGGCTTTTGTATTTCAGCTCGCTCATTAACACGGAAGCGCACCGAACCGGTACGTGCGGCCTAACAGTGTATGAAATAAGCACAGCAGGCTAACCCACGGACTAGAAAACTATCGCTATTAAGCCATTGCTTGTAACACATCAACTGGTGCTTGGTCTCGCATTAACATTCTTCGATCGGCCCCCAAACCGGTCCTCGCGTCGAAGACAGGTGGCTGGGCGAGGTCGCGGAAGTCGCGAAAGCACGAACGGCCGTGAACTGTGCTGGAGGAGGAGTCGCAACTTCCCTTAGCCCACTCTCCCACAGGAAAAAAAAAACAGGGTAGAAAAAAAAAATCGGAGCTCTTCCGTTTTCCCGCGTCACACGGAGCACACAGTCAATTCCACCCCCCAACACCTGGCGCCACGGTGCGATTGAAAGTTCCGATAAATTGGGGAAAGAAGGGGACAGAAACGGGGAGGATGCCGATTAAACAGTGTACCAATGCCACCCCCCATACCAACCCAGTAAACAAGGGGTAAACACCCACGCACACCCAAACATCCACCTACACGGGTTATAAGCGTAGAACTCCGGATTCTAATAGCACTGGGAGCCGCTAGAAAACCACAGGTCCGACCCCCCTCTTGGGGAAAGTAGTCTCTAGTCCGCTTTGTCTTTCTCTACGTTTCAAAATCCAAATAAAAAGAAATTTGAGATTTTCCTACGTCTTCCTGCTTCTAGAGCGACGACGAAGGCGGGGTGGATAAACTGTTGTGCCGGGCTTTGCAATGTAGATATTAAGAGATTAGCTTTAGGGTCAAACGCTTGGTTTGTCTCTCACCGCAGCGGAGACAATCGAAACGAAAAACTAGAACCCATCTACACACAGAGTTCAACTCGAAAGAGACTGGTATCTAGAGAACAGGACAGTGGTGCTTTTCGACGACTGTGGGTTCAGATTTGGGCTTTAGAATCAAGAACCCCGCGTCTTTTAAGGATAAGAAAAGGCAACGCCAAAAATGGGCTACGAGTCCGATGCACCCAAAGGTGACCTTGCGCAAGAAAACGACAGTGGTTAAAATGCCGTCGTTTCCTCTTCGATCAAACTTCGTAAATTAAATCCGGAACGAAACAAACGATTCCTAGTGAGGAGAGTCTATTCTGACTTATTACCACATGTTCTATCTGTATCTACACTTTCCTTTCCTTACCTGAAGGCTTTAAAACAGACAAAGAGCAGTTCAGACTTACAGTCCAGCTGCAGGATGGAGTCGTACACCTTGCACTGCATTTGGCCGGTACTCTGGAAGGCACAGGACATCCACAGTCCCTGATACATCGCCACCGCCGTGATGATATTGTCCCCCACGTAAGCCGACATCTTCCACTGGGGCAGAATGGTGCCGATAATCAGTCCGATCAGGCCGATGAGTGCCAGGGCGAAGCCCAGAATCTGCAGACCCGAATTAGCCATCCTGACGCAAACTTAGAAGTCGCACCGGCTGGAAAGCGAGAGAAAAGAAAGCGCTTCTGATGTGGAAATAACAAGCGGCTTTGTGCTTCTCGACGGCTCCTTCCTTGATATCCTTCGTCGATCTCCAAACGCTTTCTCCTTCCAGAAAGCGAACTACAATCACTTCTTTTGACAAAAATCACCCACAACGTGCACTTTCTTTAAAGTTCAGGGGGAGCAATAAACAGGTATCTCCTTCCTCCCCGGTAGCGAATGAAAAGAAACTCCTCGCCCGAGCTAATAACTACAGACCTTCCTGCTAATTCCTCTGTCTTACACCTGTTGGCAAAGCCGCACCTTGAATTTATAATGATGCGTCGGGGACGCGCGTTTTATCCGGCGGGGAGGGGGAGGGGGGCGAGCGCAGGAGTTTCGGCTGCCTCTTGCTCTTCTCTTTTGCTCCACAGACAAACACGCAGTTTCGTGATGTCACTGCGGCACCGCTGGCTTCTGGAGTACGAGGGAGATCGTCAGTTTCTTGCCTGTTACGCTTAGGGAGCCACAGGTCGTACCTGCCCCGTTGTTCCGATTGGGTTAGAATTTATTTTCGAACTGTGAAAATGAGCTGTTTTGATTTTCCCAAACAACCAGAATGTCATGTTTACTGCCGAGGAAGCGCAAATTCCTTCTCACTACATCTGCCTGGGTTTATTTCTGTGTGGAGTTTGTTGTAACACAATCTAATAATATCCAGATTTAAGAATATGCCGAGGTTTGTAATTATCCGGAAGCGTGTGTGTGTTTATTCGATCTTTGGTTAGTAGTCGAGGGATTCCTTAGACCTATTGTTTGAGGAAAATCGCCTTGCTCTCACATGACATTACAGGTCTACGGCACACAACACCCCGTCTAGTTCAGAATGCATTAATATAAACTGTAAGATCCAACCGATCTGACGCATACAAATAGATAATAAATATTCATAAGAAGAGAATGTTTAAAAATGAGAATCTGTTTGGCCATTCTGGTGTTTTTGCTTGTACTGTTTCACCCCAGGATCTCACCCAGCCAGTTTTTGGTGTGTTAACAACTACAGTACATCTCCCTTGAACTCCTCAACTTTAACCAGGACGAATTTTATTCCTGCCCACCTCCAGACCCAGGTCTAGAAACAAAAGATCAGGATCTCAATGGGACGACCTTGTGGAATATTTTTTTAAATTAAGTCTAATGAACCTTTTAGTCATGACAATGGCGGAGCACAGGACCATAGATGAGAAGAATGATCTGTGGTTTTTGCTGTCTAACCTTATACCTGTCTGACTCATGTAGTTCTCTCTAAGTATTTATAGCACACTGAAGTGCAGTGTTCACATAAGGACAAAGAAAAGGAAGTTTGTGTGTTGCCCAGAAAGAATATCATTGGTCTAACTATCCATCTGGCTGCCTTGAAGTCTGACAAACAGAACTTTCCAAAGCTGAACACACTTGGCATTTAAAAACAAACAAACACACAGTTAAATAATTAAACACATCCCTCAGAAAGCTCTTTGTTTTCCTCTCTTCCGTTTCACAGCCAGCCTTCCGCTCACGAGCACAAACAGTTCCACACAGTCGGATAACTGACCCACTCTTCACACACGGAGGCCATTGTGATTCACTGGGATAATGCACACACAAAAAATATAGCGCGTTTCACCACACAGAGCATCCCGAGCCAATTGAATATACTATGAAATACGATGTAATTTATGTACAGACAGATATTCTAAATATAAAGAGAATAACAAACGCACATTACATGTGAGTCATCCTGGCTGACTCAGTTGGTTTGTGCCTTGGCTGTGTCACATCGACATGTCAGGATTCTCTTGGTTCCTGGTGAAACTGAAACTTCCTGGGCTTCCTGGGAGGTGTGTGTGACTTATCTCTCCTGCAATCAGAACCAAACCCCCTGTTTGCCACAGCAGAGCTTGTCACGTGTCAGTGTCTGCAATTTATTATCCTCTCTTCACTGGAACAGGGGACATTACTGTCAGACAAGACAATTGGTGGCTTCACACTGGGTAGGACAGCAACAATTCTATCCATCCACTTTCTTCAATACAGGGAGCCTGTCCTGGCAAGCAATTGTCACAAGGTGGGGTACACGCTGGACGGGATGTCAGTCCATAACATGGCAGACATACAGACACAAACAGCCACACCAGAGGCATTTTTTTCCCAGAAGCCAAATAACCTGCAAGTATGTCTTTGCACTGTGGAAGGAATCCAGAGCATCAAATGGAAACCCATGTGAACATGGGGAGAACATACAAACTCCACACAGATAGTATTCCAGGAATTGGACCCAGGGCACAAGTGCTCCAGTGCTCCAAGGCAGCAATATTAACCACTTGTACCATGATGCACCCACATAAGTAATTATGGATTCTATTTCTTTAACAAAAAGTATAATATTACTCTGTACCGTGTTACCGCTAACAATAATAATAAAGCAGGCTAATAATGATGAGCAATGATGACTAGGAACAACCTTATCCAGAATTTAAAGTGTAAACCATTTCCTGAATACCAGTTGTATTTTCATGATTTGTGAAGTAATTACATCTCTTACTGGGTTCTCTTTTTCTGATCGTTCAATGAATTTAAACTTATTTTGGCCTGATCCTTTTCTTAATTGAACTATAACAGACTGTAATCCCAGTGCAAGGTTTGTTTAACTTTTAACATTTTTATCTTCAGGGTCTGTTTAGCCTTATTTTCCATTCAAGTACACTGGTTAGTCACCCACCCACAGGTCAACCTTACAACTGTCTCACTAACCCCCCTGTGGGACAGGTTACAATTACATGGTTATCATTTTCCCACTGAAATAAAAAGAGTTGTTTAGATACAAAGGAAAAAGTAATAGGTTTATTCCCCCATAAACCAGCCATGAACACAGTGCACTATCAAGTAATTTCACTGTTATCTTAAAAAAGCATAAAGCTGAAATCCCTTCCTAACATAGCGGTTTGAGTTAAGAAGTAATCAGGACAAAGATATGACTTGATATCTCTTGATGAGCACTTGATTAGTGATGAAAGAGAAGAATATTGACAGAACTTGAAACCTCAACAATTCAAGCCCTAATCATGCTTTTTAGAAAGCCCAAGACTGCCTGTGTTATCATGTACATTAAGCTGTGAGCTGCAGTTATCAGTTCAGTTATCTTTTCTGAACAGGTAGCCAATGTCCACAAAATGCCTTCCACTAAATGTGCAAATTGCATTGGAATGAACCTGTCTTCTTGTTTGATTGAAAAATGCATACATTTCATAAGTGTTGTCACATTTAAAAGTGGAAAAACACAAAGGCTCATTGCACTGTATTAGATCCATCAGAAAACATTAGTTTCCATAATCAAACTGTGCCTGAGGAAAATGGTAGTTCTAGTCAAGACGTATAGAAACTATAGTGAATCACTCTTTTACTCTAGAATCATGTCAGATGAGAAATATTTTGAATTCCGTGAATGCAAAAAACAAAATCTATTGCAAGCATAATGGCAAAAACGTGCACAAAACCAACATTCGCTGTGAAAAAAAAATCAGATAGAGTGAATATTGTGTATCTTTGGTAGAACTGAATGTTCCTCAGTCCCATCTCTTTTATCCAATGAACAGTAAAGAAACAGGCTCTGAGATGCACAGAGTCAGCCACAATGATCCAATTGTGAGGAACAGCTTCAGTGAAACGGAGGGAATTCAAGGAGCACAATGAAGCCAACGTGTTGTCAGAATGCTCTCGCCGTCTGCGAGTAGCTCTTGGTTACGAAATTTATGTGTCTGTCAGGGTTGAAGAGGAGGCAGAGGCCAAACTGGCTCATTAACCAGATGGGCAAAGAGACACAATCTCTTCGGGGATGCGACCACCAGGAACTGGGAGGACCAACTCACAAATGTCACACTGATTTCAAAGGAGGCTTTTTTCTTTTCACTATGGGTCAGGCAACCAAAAAAAAAAAGGTGGTAAAATGGCAACTCTGAGATCTGGGAACGATATCTAAATATAAAAATGATCCCAAGCCCTATGTGTAATCTATGGGTTGGAGTCAGTGCTCCAGTCTTTATCTCAGATTTTCCAGCATTTCTGGTTATTCCAATTTCTTTCACTTACCCATCCATCCATTTTATAACCACTTCTTCCACTGTCTGGGGAGTTAGAACCTATTCCAACAAGCAACAAGGCAGGGTACACCTTGAAGGGGATGCTAGCCCATTGCAGAGCAGACTGACACAGACACACTCACACCAGGGTCTTTGGACTGTGGGAGGAAACCACATGAACATGGGGAGAACATACAAACTGCACACACATAGCACCCCAGGTTTGGAATCAAACCCAGGACCCCAGGCCTGTAAGGGGGCGATGTTAACCACTGCACTGCTGATCCACCTTGAAAGGTTTAATTGAAATAGTGAATTCCTCAATTTGATAGAATGTTAGAATGTTATCACCTCTAAAACATTACAAAGACAAGTTAGCTGTTAAGAGTTTCTAAGTTCTTAGCAGGTGAAAACAATTCTAAGTGAGTGCATGACTCTTATCGCCAGATTAAAATGAACACCCCATTCAAATAAGGGACTGTTAGCCCCTGTTGCCTTGTGTGTAATTACAGAGATGGAAATTGAGAGCTGTAAAAAAATCAGATCTGCAATAGGAATGCCACGCACAGCTGGTACTTTTCACCAGAGGTCCAGTGGGGGGTCACTGGGAGTGTGGCCAGACTCAGAGCACCAATATTGTGAAGGTTGGTGTTTTGGAGGCAGCTTGTGAAAGCAAGGAGATGAGGAGACAGTTCCCCTGGCTCACAGGGAGGGTTTATTTTACTGTTATTTACAGTGGGATGTACAAATCAGAGAAAGAGAGAGAGAGAGTAAAAGCAGGGGAGGAGAGCAGAGAGATAGGTTCTTCTCTTCACAAAATGGAGGGGTCTTTCAAACCTTATGTAGGGGGAAAAAGTAAGTAAAGGTGAG